GACAGCGGCTGTTGGTTTCAGCTGGGATAAGACACCACTATTGTGCAAAGAAGAGTTCCTGCCCTCCAGTTGCGAGTGTGCTGGCTTCTTTCCTGATGTGAACACAGTTATTTATGGCACTGTTCTATCAGTTGGATGGGGAGTAGAGATCTGAGCTAGTTAGTTAAAACTAACCCAGAAAAAAATAATTATTAGCTGAATTAATTGTAAAACCCGTCATGGGACATAAGAGACTGTGTGGGCAGGTAGGCAGAGGAAGGGTGGTCTGGGGTGGAAATGAATGCCTGAGAGCAGGGGAATGGGAGGGCTCTTTTCTTGTGGCAGTTCTAAGTTAACCTGATTTGAAATAAATGGTGAAACTGTGCTGTGAAGTTTGGAATGCATTGCATTTGCTTTTATACCTTGAACCCTCTACTTTTAAGATGTAGCAGTTGTATTCTCAAATTGCATAGTTGGAGTTTCTTAAAGCATCATTTTGAGTTTGTCAGCTCTGTATACAGGAAGCTTTTGCAACAGAGACACAGTACAATCCTTGTACAGGAGTCTTCACTTTTCTGCCTCTTTCCTTTCAACTGGGGTTGTTGCAGTGTTGGGTTGAAATTTTTGAAATTTCACTGTGTTGGTACTGGTGAACAGACCTTACCTGCAGGCTCTGTGAAGTGAACCTGAATTCAGGCAGACATACATTTAACGTAAACTTCAGTAGAAGCAAAGGGGAAGCTGTAGACCTTGTATGGCTATCAGCAAAAGAAAAAGAAAAAAAAAAATCCACTAAAACACAAAAACCCCAGAAAATGAAAAGTTAGCACTTTCTCTTCTGAAATCTACAAGCAAATTCCCTAGCTTTTCAGTGAAGTAGAAGGAATGTTAAAAAAAAAAAAAAAGGTTAGGCCAGCTATGTAGAAACATTTGACAATTTGGCAGAAGTTTCTTCATTTTAAATCTGAATAATGTGATGTATGACCCATGTGCTCTGATTTTTTTTTTTTTTATTTTTTTAATTTTACATGCTTTTCATGCATGTAAAATTGGAGGATCTCCCTTATGAAGAAAGGCTGAGAGAGCTGGGACCCTTTAGCCTGGAGAAAAGAAGGCTGAGGGGAGACCTTATTACTACTTACAAATATCTAAAGGGTGGGTTGAAGGAGGATGGAGCCAGACTCTTCTCGGTGGTTCCCAGTGACAGGACGAGGGGCAACGGGCACAAGTTGGAAGTTCCATTCAAGTACAAGAGAAAACTTCTTTATGGTTAGGGTGACAGAGCACTGGCACAGGCTGCCCAGGGAGGTTGTGGAGTCCCCTTCTCTGGAGATTTTCAAGACCCACCTGGATGCAGTCCTGAGTAATGTGCTCTAGGCAATCCTGCCTTAGCAGGGGAGTTGGACTAGATGATCTCTAGAAGTCCCTGCCAACTCTGAAAATTCTGTGATTCTGTGTGATTCAAAGCTCAGTAAAATGGAATATGTATGTCTAAGTATGCCTTATAACAAATTGCCATGAAGTGCTCATAAATTACACATTTGCAGATGACAGCTCTTGCAGGTAAAGTGGTTCATCCAGATACAGTGCCAAAGTCAGACATGAGCAGCAATTGGATTTTCTGATTTCGGAAACATACAATTACTCTTGTATATAAAAGGAAGCTGTATGTATGCCTATAACATATTAAGAGATAAAATTATTTACTGTCATAATTTCACCAGGAAGGCCTGCATTTTACAGATGGTAATAAATTCATTTAGCGTTTGCACTAGCATACCACATCATCTTTAAGATCTGGTGTCACAGATGCAGAGCAGCTGAAGCATACTGTTGATGTAGATTCTGGTTAGTGTTTTCAGCGTTATTTTTTCAGCTGCCTTAACCAGGAAGTTAAATGGATGTAAATTTCTAGAGATCATATAAGATGATTCTTAGTTTCTCTGACAGAGGTAACAAACTTGAGTCTTCAGAGACTTTAGAATCACAGAATCACAGAATGGGTAGGGTTGGAAGGGACCTCTGGAGATCATCTAGTCCAACCTGAGTTCTCCTGGGCCATGCTTGCCACAAAGTAGGATCCCCTTTGCTGTTTTCAGACTAGTTGAGGCAGACGCAGAGAGGTGAAGGAGAGGCTGGGTTGGTTTAAACCGTGTCACCTTGTTGCTGGCTGGGTTTAAACCGTGACACCTTGTTAACTTTAATACTTCAAGGACAGTTTTAAAATATTTTTGACAACTGAGATGTACGTGTGCCACAGTTTCTATTTGATTGATAAGAAGGTGGTTTACTCAAAGACTTATTTATAGCATGTTGAAATCTGGGCTCTCATAGATGCTATTAAATATTTAGATTTAACGCTTCCTTCTAACAAATTGTTCTGGATATGTTGTGGCTTTTTCTTTTTGGTTTTGTTTTGGAAGGACCTGACTAATTGTATTTAAAAAAAAAAAAAAATGTTGAAGACTTTGTGTCACCAATGAAGAGTTTCAGAAATTGTGAGATAACTTCTTTATAGCACAAAGATTTCTGTGGGACAGGTCTAAGACTGAAGAGACCAACAAGGCTGAGGAAGTTGGTTTGACAAAAGCATAAGGGTTTAGTGGGAACAAATGTATCTTTAGTGCAACCAGGAGAAGGGAGAAGTGCTGGGGTGTTCTTGTTGCACTCTCGTGATCATTGCAGTACAGATAGCACTTCATCTTTCCAGCTGCCTGGAGGCCTCCATTGCCAAAGACCCTGTTGTAATTGTTCATGTTCTAAATTCTCAAAATCTAACCACAGATAACTTGCACGTTTGGATTAAAGTGGTATTTATAGATTGATTTTTTTTTTTCACCCCTTATTATGTTTATAACTGATGGTTGACAGAATCAATTTCAATTAATAAACAGGTTCTTGTTACAAAAAATCTTACGTTCCTTTGGTATCCTCAGAAAAAGCAGTCATGAATTAAATGTCACAGAAAATGCAGAAAATTAAGACTTTTGAGTAGCTGAAGTACGAAAACGTACTGAGATTTTAATGCAAACTCATATTTAGCATTCTTGCTATGGCTTTTGGTTTTGCGGTCTTCTCTCCTCCTTGCCAAATTTTTTTTACATCAGAAGTTTACATTTCTTATAACGAAAACACAGGTGAGTATTTCACTCTTCAAAATCTGTAGATTCTATATATTTTGGTCTGTGATTTCCCACTTTAATATTATAGAAGGTTATCTAAACGGTGAAGTACTCAGGCAGTTTTCACTGAGGCTGCCACATATTTGTAAATATTCCTTCCCCTTCTTCATCCACCATACAATGTTTGTCTGTCAAAGGCTTGATTTGTTTTTTCAGGTCATTCTTTAAAGCTGTGTTTTGTTTTGTTTTTTCCCCCCATATTTTCCCTTTCCCTCTTCTTGGGGGAAAATGGCAGACAACAGCTGTTCCTAGTTAATCTGTTAAAGTAATCTCACATTTTGAACAACAGCGTTGATGTTTGAGGTTTATTATGCACTCATAACTTCCAGTGAGTGAATTTTAAATAAGATAACTTTGATTCAGCAGTCATTTGGGAATCTATGTGTGCCTTTGGTGGGAAAGGACGGCAAAAATATACAAACTGCCCATAGAAATAATAATGAGTATAGTGCCCAAAGAAGCAAAAACTTGGGAGTCTTGCAATTCTTGCTCGTAGTTCAGAAGAGAAGATTCTACCTGATAGTTCAATAGTAGAGGAGGTTTCTTTTCTGGAAGGCTTTATCGAATCAACAGAGGGAAGAAACTGCGCTTAGAGGCTTTAGTTCCAGAAGGGGCCACTTTCTGTACAGACTGTGTTCCTCTTCGAAGTGCAATGAAAACCTTTCCATTAATCGTCTGGCTCCATGATTCATGTTGCATGTCTTCCTGTCCTCTCTGCCCTCCTGCCAGAGTTCCTGAAACTCCAGAGACACAAGCAGTCTAACTAAAAGCATGAAACGTAAAATGGGAAGTTAACATCAGCAAACTTTGCATTTATCTTTTCTAAGAGGGTGTGTGTGCCACCAGTTCTGCAATGATGTTACTGTTAAGACTCCTCTGAGGAGAGGAATTCAGGGATAGTTTGTTCCCTGATAGAGCTTAGATCCAAGCTAAAATAGTGGTTTTAGGAAACTTTATGCCTTTCTCAAGTAAGGGTGAAAAGCTGGCATGATACACCAGGTGAGATATACCAGTTTTACAGTATAATTTTTGTGATAGTATTACTAAGGCACAGGTTTTCATTCAGTTATAAGATGCTCTGCGTGTGTAAGTGCGCTAGTGCTGTAAAAATGATACAGCACTTAGCTGTGTGCCTGCTGGCTCAGGAAGCTGTGGTCACACTTAAGAAAGAACTTTGTTTTGTGGCCAGCATGTTGGACATATATTCAACAGAACTGAATTGCATTGCGAGACTTTCTATTTGGTTTTTAGTAATGTAAGATGGTAAGCAACCTAAAAGCTAGGAATATAAAATACTGAGGCTAAGATCCAGTAATGAATATGAGATGCTGTTATTTTCATCCGGAAAGCCATGTAAGTATGTAGGAGAGGAAGAGTTTAAGCAGCCTATTTCACATCACAGACCAGTGGTTTTAATCCGGTGAGAATGAGCAGGTATAGAAATGTAAGCAGATAAAGAAAATGAATGAACAGGTAAAAGTGGAAAAGGGCAAAGAAAAAGTAGTTGGTACATAGAATGGTACAGCTTTTCATAGGTAAAAGGTTATTTTTGATAGAGGATGTGGTCTGATGCTTGAGCAGTTTCTCTCAAGGAGTTTATGCCTGGAACCCCTTGTACAGTAAAGAACAGTCTGGGATTTTTGTGTCTAAATGCATTAAATGACAGATGTGATGGATGCTTATTCTTTTCATACGGAAAAACTGCATAAAGGGTTCAGTGTTAAGTTTTGAGTTGTGTTATTTGTGGCACTAATGGCTTTGCAGTTTTTCAAAACAGCTTTATAGTTCCCAGAATGCTATTGCTAATAAAATTTAACAGAGTTTCTTTGATTGTTTTAGAGGTGTATTTGATGCTTCCCTCAAAATGGCTGGGTTTTATGGACTCTACACTTGGCTGACTCACACTATATTTGGGATTAACATAGTCTTCATACCATCTGGTAAGAATTTGAACAATTATAATCTATTTATAGATAATACTACATAATTATTTATTGTACAAGATAAAAGTAGGATTAAGTGTTGTTGGTAAGATTAGTGGAAGTTATTTTTAGAGAACATTAAATCAGAAGCTGGCAACTATAAGAATTAGAGTTGAATAGGCAACCTTAATATGGCTGATTTGGGCAAATGTCTTAACAAACTTTCTAATTACACAATTGGCTACTTTTTTATCCTAACACCTGAGTCTATTGATGAACTCAATATATGATATGGACTTAATGAGTGGCTAGCTATTCAGAATTTTCTTTATTTCCTGTTGAATATGTAACCTGATTTTTATTTCTTGTTTATTGTTCAAACCCCACTGTGAAAATACTATGACAATTCAATACTTCCGTGATATGCATTGTGGTTCCAAAAAACTTCTTACTGTTGATTGATTCTTCCAAGTTTAATTAGATCTATGGTTGTTTAAATTATTCTATGAAGACTGTACAGCTTTTCATAGCTCTTACTTTCAAAATACTTAGTTCCAACTGTGAATGTATGTAGTACTGCTGTAGTACTGCTGAAAACTATTCCAGGGGTGTTTCAGGATCGCCATGGGTAGGGTGGAGAGAAGTCCCAGATTGCTATCTTACCTCTGAGCCTTGCCTTTTTATGTTTTCACAACACATCCCTGCCAGCTGTTTTACTTCTGCTGTCTGATGGATGTATTTTTTCTCCTTTCAGTCCAAGTCCAGGTTTTAACTTCATTCTGCCTGCCTTGGCTTTTGTTTCTTCCATAGTTTACAAGTGCTGGTTTTTCAAGATGCCTACATTCGGGAAGATGTGGTATCATGAAAATGCACGATAGAGGTGTGCTGCTTTTTCTCTGTACTGTTGCCTGACTGTATTACCAGCCTCTGGGTTTCTGTTATCCTTTAATCTTAGCTTTGGAAATGGCTGAACAGTTTTCACTGAAGAATCTTCTCCCCTGTTCTTCTTTTGCCTCTCTTCCCCTAAAAATAATAATCATAATAGTAATTAAAAAAAGTATTGTACCTTCCTGTATGAGCGAACAGAAGGAGAAGCTATAAAGCAACAAAACCCACTATAATAGGAAATGGCTGTATTGTAAAGTGCAACTACCTTAAAGGCATTTATTGTCATTAGACCTACTTAGAAGGTAATCATTCTTTTTCTTTCAGCTGCATGCAAAATCTTAAAAGTTTTTGCTTTCTGGTTAATGACACCAAAAAAGAGGAAAAAAAATTAATTATTTTCTGTATTATGTTCATTTCTGTTGCATTAAATTAGAATGACAGGAGTACTGCATCACTTTAGATTACAATGGGTATTTGTATAATCAGAAAGTTGTGTGCCTGTGTGCACATGTGTGCATACAGAAATATATAAGTCATGGATTTTAGAATTGCCTGGTTTCTCACAGTACTACCTACATTACTGTGGTTGACTGCAGGAGATCTGGTAAGTTACAATGAGACTTACGCTTGTATCCCTTTTTGCACGCAGCTGCTGATTTGTAGTTATGTAAAAGTTTGAAATGTGCATGATTGGTATAACTTTAAAATTATCTGACTTGGTGCCTCTTTTGGAAGTAACTCCTTATGAGTAATAGTTGATGAAGCTTTCTGTATGGGGAATACTGTTGTTTTTTTTTTTTTCTGAACTTCTTCAGTGTCTTATTTACAACAATTGATAGAAGTGGGACTACCGGTGTGGCAAAAGTGTCGGAATTTAACTGTAGATATATTTGTGAAATATGTTTCTCTGGTCTTTTTCTCACCTCTGCTTCTGTGTGCTCTAGCATTAGCAGCAATCCTTGGAGCAGTGCCGTTTCTGGGGACGTACTGGGCAGCCATCCCTGCAGTCCTAGATTTGTGGCTTGTGCAGGGACAGGGATGCAAAGCCATTTTGCTCTTGGTTTTTCACCTCTTGCCAACCTATTTTGTAGACACAGCAATTTATTCAGATATATCGGGGTAAGTACATTGAAGACTTTTTAAAGTTAATATTGTAAAAATACTTAACGATCATCGATGCCTTTAATTAAACTTAATTTTCTGAAGCGTGCAGAACAGTATCTTCAAGCATAGGAATAGGTATAGTGGTACCACCTGATAGTAAGAAGTCCTACTGGCCTAAGTGCCTTTACTTTCCCAGGCTTCTTTTCTGTGAACTTTGTCACTTCAGAGGTCTTGAATTCTTTCTCAAAGTCAGCAAAATCAACTGTTTTGGTTCTTAAAGTAATTCTAAGAATACCTTCGCTATTTATCTAATCATTGGCTAAAGACGTGTAGCATTTTCCTTTACATTACTAATGCCAGACGATGCTGCAGAACAAACGAGATCCATGAACTAGTTAAAGACCTGAAAAAAATACTTCAATTTTTCAGAATGGTTTGTGAGAATTTTGAAGATTTTTTTGAAGCCAGCCCTTGTGTTGTGTCACCATAGCTTAGTGTAAAAATCTATTGATTATGGAATGATCTTTAAATGCTTTGAGACAGATGAAATTGCGAAACTGGAGATAGGCTCCTACTGAGACGGTAGCCAGTGCTATTTTCTGGTTGTGGGAGGTAGGCAGAGATTTCTTGAAAAATCTTGCTAGGTGTTTGGCTGTCTCTATTGACTAGAAAAGCCTCCTGGTTTCAGCTTTGAGTTTGTACACAGAGAAACAAACTCCAGACTATGGAGACAAAGTCAATGTCTGCAGTTGTACCTGGAGTGCAACTGAAATGTCCACTGGTGTTCTCTGCTGCTGCCATATCTAGTGGATCCCTGTATGCAATTCAGATTAGAAGATAAAGCAGCAGTGTTTAACAGACATGGCAAAGATACGAACTGTCAAGTTTAATATGTGCAAGACACATTCGCAAACGCATACAAGATAGATACAAAGTTGTACCCCTCTAGTCACTGCTTCAGTCTTGATCATCAAAAGCAATCCTAGTAAGCTGTTTGAATTGAGAACTTCATGGTCCAGACTTAGTTACACGCTGGTACTAGTTCCTCATTTGCACGGATTTTTATTATAGTGGAGTTAATGTAGAATAAGGATATTTAGTATTTCAGTTCTGTGTTAAGTTAGAAATTAATAATTTTGGTCACCAAATATAATTACACTGAGCAGAGAGAACCTAATGATACTATGCACAATATTAATAATAATTTTCATAGACTGTTGCACTAGTTATTTTGCATGAATTAAAGATAACAGGTGAAGTATAATCAAATTACAATTTGTTTCCAACAATAAGTCATGGATAAATTTAAGGCTAGTAGCTATTTAACCAGCCGATAGTTCTGCTTATTTGAATACATTTTTTGACTGTAGGGGATGCAGGCTCTGTTTACTGTCCAGAAAATATATGTGGCAGGAATAGATTTTTCTGATGGTGGAGCAAAATTATATTCTTCCCATTAAATAGAACAGTGATCATCATGCTGTCTTGCAGATTAGATTAAATCTATTTGAAATAGCTATAATTAGGTTATGCAGGGTTTTCCAAATGCATTAAATTTATATTGTAGTCCTATTTCATCAGGTGATCTGTTGTTTAATTTAGCAAACTAGCCAGAAGATCGCTTAAACTGATGCAAATGCTGGAAAAAAATTTTAAGTTTTTAAAGGTATAGAAATGAATCGTGTCTACTATTGGAGAAACATAAAACTTTAAGGTTAAGTCAGTCCCCTCAAAAAACAATCTGGCTCTACCAGTAGGTTTAATTTGATCTAGGTAAGACATGATTGAAGTGTGTATGATGTAATAAGTCTCGTTGCATGGTCTCATTCCACACACAGTTCTGATGAAGGCAAAGACTGCCAATGTGGGAGTTGAGTAGAAGTCAGGACCATGGTAGAAACCTGGCAGAAACTGCTGGACCTCTAAACTGACTAGCTGGTATTTTCACTCCATTACACTCAGAATTTAGAACAACTTCTAAAGGTGCAAAGTTTCAACTGTAGCTTTTCTCATATAATTCTGTATTACCATCATTATTTTAGCTAGAATAAAGATTAAGCATGATGAGCAGGTTTTGTGTAAATGCTGTTGATAGGATTTGTGTTGTGCATCTAAACAGAAACATGGAAAAGAAAAATGCAGTGGCTTATCTGCTGCCATAATAGCTCTTATCAAAAGCTCCATTGGCCCCAACTTTCCAGGAAATATTAATATGTTCATAAAAATCTGGTTTTATTTTTCATCTGAAAACATTAAAAGCTAATGATAACAAACAGTCTGAGAAGTTGTTTTGTAACAAAATGAGAAGACATGACTTTATTTAAAGAATACGTGCTAATTATTCTTTGAAAGATGCAGTGCAGGTTGCCATCGTCGTGTAAGTTAACATCTTTGCTCAGGGGCGCTTATAGTACATGTTGCTAGTTGTCTTAAAATTTAACCATTCTTGACAATAAAGCATAAACATTCTTTATAATCAAACATCTTTCCATTTTCAAAATAGAAATATTTTGCCGGAGACTCCATCAGACATTCTTCAGCAGATGTCTATAAAATAGCTACTCTATTGTGGATATTACCAGCGTTATATGCTGTAAAACATTGTTTGATCTGTTGTGCAAATATAGTGCAGAATACAGCTTGGAATATTTGTGCAGTCATTCAAACAGCAGCCTATAGTGTAAATATGGGGATCTATAGCTACCTATGTAATTTTCTAAGCTTAATAAAACTGTATGATTATTTCACATTTCATAATTGATAGTAGCACTGTTTGTTGTTCTTAATTTAATTTTATTTTGCTTGTGCCATAATTCCAGAGGTGGTCATCCTTACCTGACAGGTCTCGCGGTAGCTGGTGGAGCATATTACCTGGGACTGGAAGGAGCCATCATAGGACCAATTCTACTTTGTATACTTGTGGTTGCTTCCAACATATATAGTGCCATGTTGGTGAGTCCAACAAATTCCGTGCCCACTCCATCACAAGCAGCATGGCCGTTACAGATTTACCGGTAAGTTACAAATGTCTTACATGTATGCATTATGTTTTTGCATGGATCAGTATATGTACATATAGGTATAGAGAATGTGTACATGAGTTTTGTATGAGTGTTCATACACACCTACACGTATATTGAAGTATTTGGAGAGGATTCGGCTATCCTATAGTCTAGAAATAAAAATTACTGGAACTTACAAACTTGAAATGTTTGTTTAATGTCTCTCAGCTTCTTGCAGAAGGCTCTTCTAGAAAATTCACTGATACCTTTGTATCCTATAATTTATATGTTGCTGTTGTGCTGGAGATGATTTTTCTGTGTAAAACTATTATTCATGGAAATCAAATAGTCAGTGTTCATTGCCTTTAATAAGAGGCCTGCCTGCAAATACCACATTTTTATATGTTACTGTACAATACTGCAAAATAAAAATAAACATACTTGAATTTAAAAAATGGGACAACATTATATGCCATTATTCCATTAAAAGTATGGTCTTGATTAATCTGTTTATTGAAGTTACTGAACCTGGAATATAGAAATGTATCTTTAAACTGTACAGTTAAGGAATGGGATGAATAAACTCTTAATTGAATACTTAATTAGAGTTGGAAATCATATTGTGAAGTTATTAATGACAGTAGCCATGTTAATGTCTCTACTGTCTTTTTCAATTACATAGGTTAGCTCATTATACATATATCTTAAAGAGAATTCCATGCTTGTTAGAAATAATCCTTTGCTTCATTCACATGAATAATGCTGTCATCTTTCATGTGGGTACTTAGGAGAAAAACCACTAATTGGACCTGTCTGTAGTCTCTGACTTGTAGAAGTTACGTTCCAAGACTTTCCATATACGCCTTAGCTAGAGCTTCCCACAGTACACACAAAAATTTGCATGTGTGTTTGTTTACTGTTTCATTTGCAGGAAAATAGATGTTTCTAATCACTCAAGAGATTTGAGTCTTACTGTTTGTTTTTTTTTTTCCCTCCCTGCCCTCCAGGTCATCTAGAGAGAGTCCTGAGGAGATAAAAATGGCTGCAGAGTGATGAAGGTGCTGCACGTAGTCAGCATTAGAGAATCGCTGTCTTCTGTCTTGAGTTCACAACAGCCGTGGCCTCCTGTCCTTTGCCAGCTGTGCCTGGGGGCAGCTCACAGGGAAGCATAGCTTGCGTTTTAGGAGAGAACACTTCTCAAACATCTGCTGGCCTTACATTATTGTGCACTTTGCCTCTATCGAGAGAGAATGTCTACTTCCCGTGGCTTTACACACTAACACACGGTTCAACTGCCTTGTTGAAGACCTTGAAGACCTTCTGTCTTCATAAAAAGAATGGTTAAAAGGACAGGTGTATCCACTGGAGTCATTATTTTACCTGCTGAAATTACAAACTTAGCTGTTATTTATTGGGTTATTTGTGTTATTAAATTGTAGTAGCTTTAAAGAAAGCTAATTCCAAAATATTTATTCTCAGTTAATTTGGTGGCAGAAAAGGTGTAAACCACTCATTGTAGAATACAGTTGTTTGCTGCTCCACAAAGTATTTCTTTAGAGGCTTTAACTGTCATCTGTAACTTATTATAACACTTAAATATTATCCTCTTATACACACTGAAATTTAAAGTTGTTGGAGACTGGTATTTCTAGTATCTTCCTGAAATTAGTAGATGTGCAAATTGTTAAATGTGGGGTTTCCTCATATTGAAACGGGAGGACGGTTACATAGCTTAAATCTTGCCATCATTTGCAGTGAAATCTGATAGTATTTTGCTGTTTACCCGTCATCCCAGTGGAGTCATCTTGTGAACTAATTTTAATCGAAGGCCTCAAGTGTTTTCAGGCAGAGGTAATGTATGATTGCCATGCCTACTTCCAGTAATAGGAAGAAGTTGAATGGGGATTGTTGGTTTTCAAGTGCTGTCGCTGAGTTCAATTAACTTTTCAAACAAATTTAAGTTTATTTCCAGAGAGGAAGGGCAGAGAGCGTGGATTTTGTTTTAGTTCAGTTTGTTTTTCATCCCCCTGTAATCCTTTGGCCAAATAATATACAAGATATACCTTATATCTTAGTAAGATAAGATGTATCTTCATAATAGAGTTCTTAAATTCCTGAAATGGTGTGTTGCCTAGGTCACAGCACCAAACTACTCTCGTGCTTTTATTCCATACATAGTTTTTTGCCTAAATTGCAGTTTTGGTCTTTTGTATTGATTGTTGGAATATTTTGACACAATGGATCTTTGTAAGTGGATCCTTTTTATAAATAGGAAGTGGGTTTTTTGGTAGAAGTTTCATACTTGAACAGCTTTTCCACAAATACATTGAGGCCCTAGGTACAAGGTAGCAGATGCACATGCTTAACCAAAGAACCACCTTTCAGTTTCTAGTAACTTCTCTTGGATTTATTTCAGAGTTTGATAATGAGTTATACAAAATGCAGGCATACTTCGCATTTATTGTTGACAGTAATGCAACTGTTGGAAGAACAATCTGTTCTTATCTAGGGATAAGGATATCTAAGATTTGTGTACAAACAGCTCTCGGTAACTTGGATGTTTGTTTTAGTCAAGTTGCAGAAGTGCTGATAGATTTGGAAGGCTCCTATTTTCACGAGACTGCATGTATTTTTACATTATTTCTGAAACTACATTGCCATAGAAAGTGATTGGAAAGTATTCTGGTACTTCCTAAGCAAGCAAGTCCTGGTACAGGTTTGCAATAAACAGGCTGCCTATTAAGACACAAATAGCCTACTCCTCACATTCTCAAAATTAGCTGCTGCAATTTTACTGATGAAATTTAATGCTTAAATGTGGGGTTTCAAGCATGCTGGTTTTGCACTTGCAAACTTGCAGGTATGTGTTTGGATGACAGACTCAGGCTTAATTTAGTGGTTTGACTCAAGTTCACTGAAATACGGAAACATCCCATTTAATATTTTAAATTCTGAAAGACCTATACATCAGTTCCAGCTATCTGAATAGGAAGAATGTGTTGCTGGAATTGACTAACTGTGCTGTGTTTTAATTTCCTTGGTTTTGTGGATCACGTAAGATCTTCAGTGAAACACATTTTCATAATTGTTGCTGACTGGTGTGGAGGATGACAAAGAACCTAAGGCTGTCCCATTCCCACAACATTCTAACCAGCTTGAATGAGACTGCCGTGATACTTGAGAAAGTTCTTTGTTATATTACTTTTTTAGTTCAGAAATTTGCACTGAAATGTTGTGTTCTCATTATAGCATTTAAAGAAGATTGCTAGCAAGAAATGTGCATCTTTAATGTATTTCTGTTTTTCCATTGCTCCTCTTTACTCACCGATCAAGACACTGTATTGTCCAAACTCGCTATCCCAGTTATTTCTGAGACAATCTTTCAGGTTCCTGTGGTACTCAACGTAGTCATTTTAAGAGTCATTATAAAGTATTCGTTTCTTTGTTTTTAATTTTTCCTCTTCTCCCTCCCTCTTCACCTGACCTCCTTAGATCAAAGAAAGGTCTCTGCTGTGAAGATTAAAATGGTATTTCAGGCACAGTTGTCTTCAATTATGGCAAATCAGTAAAATCAGCTGAGAAGATACGTTGTTATTTTGAAAAGTTCCTTTCCCAATGTGAAGAGAAATCATTTTGTGTAGAGAATTCATATCTGATGTAGTGTTTTTAGTTGGCCCTGATTGTAAATGAGGCTTCATATTGATGCTTCCTGTTTCAAATTCAGCTAAGACTTGCCATGAAGAACCTGCAGTAGTACAGTCTTTCTCAGTAAATGTAGCTTAAGGAGCTCATGCTCTGTGCCATGCCTGACTGAGGAACGAATTGTATGGTTCAGTAATGGTGTACTGCCAAAAGGAAAAGAAAAAGAAACAAAACCTTCAGTAATACCTTCTTAGAATATGAAATATTTGCTGAATTTTGCCATGTTAAAGAAAAAGGCCAAAACACCACCTTATGAAAAAGCATACCTTGATTATTTAGGGTTTGTCTTTAGTGTTTAATTACCAGTAGAAATAGGAAAAAAACCTTGTCCTAGCATATTTAACAATCCATATTCTTTTCTGAAAAGACTCAGCCTTTTTAAGAACAGTTTAGTTTAGATCAATCTCACATTAATGTGAAAATAATGGTCATTTTGACTTCTGGTCGTTTTAACATACCAGTTCCTGATTATTTTGCCTCATCTGCAAAAGCAAGCAGCAGCTCTGTGGGATAAGCTTTTAAATGGCCTGTGTGTTTCAGGAAAAAAAAAAAAGGGGGGCAAAACTCCTCACACACCCTTTTCTGTATTGGCATTAAACTACAGTTTTCTGTGGAGAGACCATCTTTTTCGTAATGCTTATGGGCAAGAAGTTGATGGTCTTTAGCTTTACTGTAAACAGTCATTCCAGGAGCAGGTTTTTACTTGTATTTAGTGCATTTAGTATTCAGTTTGAAGAAAAACAATTTAGAATTCAGAAGGGAATGCTTGTAGTAAACCAAGATAATGTGGTCTCATGGTATTGTAAAATATGACTGTGCTTTTTTTTTTTTTTTTTTTTAATCATTGTCCTCTAGCAAATCGGGCTTGTTGCAAGTAAGTGTAGTGCCAAAGGGCTAGTGGTCACTGTTTCTTGCACTGAGTCTAAGTTACCCCTTCCACCCCTTCCTGTACCTTAGCTGAATGGTACTGTGCTGCAGCAGAGCTAGCAGCAGTGAATGTGTGCCGTTTACAGCCCAGCATGTTAACTTCAGGTCACTGTAAATACTCGTTTAATTGAATACGTGAAGCAACAAGCTGCAGTGGGCAAGAATCTGGCACGCATTGATTTTGCCAGCCTTTCTGCAATGTGGTGACTCTCAGCATAGATGCACCATCACCAGTTGAGAGCAGTAGTGTCTTAATTTGAAAGACTGCTTTAAAAAAAAAAAAAAATTTAAGATTATAGTCATATAGACAATATACACTTTTCAGAAATTCATTTGATACTCATGTATCTAACAAGTCAGATATTTCCAGGCACAATGGTTTGTATTTGCTGCTGATCTAGGGTACAAACCACGACATTAGGCTTGTCTGATTTCAAGGACTATGTGGCTTCTCTTCAAGACTTTGGGGAGGAAGATGTGTGTATTTTGTCAATGATTATTTGATTAGGAAGTCCATGATCTGTTTAATAAAATAAGAAAAAAGCATTGCCTAGGAAAATTGAATGCTGTCTCCAGTATCATATATTGTGGGTATCGGCGTAACTTCTGAAATAGGTGTATGGCTGCCATGTTAAACGTTGTTCTTCAGAAAGCCTGAAAAGACAAAACTGAATGAAATTGTTCCCCAGTAAAACCAGCAGCAGAATTGCTATGCTGCTAATCCCTAGTACTGGTGACAGAACACTGCAAAAAGTGCTGCCTTTCCTACAGACCTGATACGCTAAGGATGGGAAAGTACCATTGTTCTACTGAGACTCTGTGGCTTTGCATCAGCGGTAGAAGGTGCTCCCACAATTGCCTCTATTCAAACATTGAGTTCATCTCATATTGGCTTAAGTTTGTCACTGCAGATAGTGCCAGCTTCTTGGATACTGCTTCTGGAAACAACTAGAACTTCCTTCAGAAGGTGCTGAAAGCTGCTGGGATTGGAGGTTGTATTCATTATATTTAATAATGGCGGTACCATTCTTTTAGAGATGCAGTTGTTTGCTTTGAAGTTTGCAATTTTACAAGACAAAATTGGTTTCCCAATTAAATAATCTTTGAGTAACAGCTAGCATCTCTTAAATCCACGGATGCGTCATCTTTATAAACTGTCTTGGCTTGTATTTCCTAGGGTTTCTTCTTTCTGTTTCTTATGCTTTTTGGTGAAGCATACTTTGGGAATTCCCTTCTTTTTTCTACAAGACTAGAATTGCGTAAAACTCTCAACAAATGTTAGGGAGGTTTGATCTTTAACCTGATACTATTTATCTGTCACTTTTAGGAAAATACCTTAATGCTTTATGGTAAAATTCTCCAAAATTGCTTTTAAGTGCTAAAATTTGAAATTTAGAAAAAACATACGCAATGTGGAAAATGAACTTGGTATTTTGAAACCAGGAACAATGCCAGAAGTGATGAGCATATTCAGGGATTCTGCATTGGGTTTGTAAATGTATATATGCAGCATTATATAAATAAGAGCAGTGTTTGTCCTGTTGACACTAACTGAAATTTTGTCCTATGTCTTTTTCTAAAAGATATCTGAGAACAAAAGAGTGCCTGTATATAGTGAAAACAAGCAACATTTTCTAGAATTAATGATTACTTGGTAAACG